TGCCAAATTCCAGCCCCCTAGCTCAAATTTTGCAAAAAAATCGATAAAATCGATAAAAGTAATGCACGGTTTCGAAAACTAATATTGTATTCGTAATCAGCATGCTCGATTACCCCCTGTGCCAAATCCCAGCCTCCTAGCTCAAATTTTGCAAAAATCGATAAAATCGACATCAATCGATAACGAAGAGTGGACTGTGACACCCGCCGGGGCCCGAAGTGTATGTGTGCCAAGTTTGGTCCGGATTGGTTAAGAAATGGAATTTTCTATTCGGAACATACGGCGGAGCCGGGTAAGCCAGCTAGTTCCCTATAAATTAAATTAAATTATTACTAATTGTTCTCAATGGAGCTGATCTGCTTTGATTCCTCAGCTTCCAAAGAATTATTCTTGATGCAAAATGTTCCTTATAGAAAAAGCGTTCCGCACACATTTTCTTGCTGATTATGAAAAATGGCAATTTTTCATCATTAAGAGACAAGAAGGTTTGAATTGCTCCAAAAACGAAGAGTCTGCAGGGTGTCCCCTATTAAGACTTTTTGTAGGGGGCAGGAGGTTCTGCTCTGAAAAGTGTTGGGCAAGAAAAAGACGGTCGCCCATACCGTACCCAACCCGACTGCCCTTCTAAACAAATCCCTACTGCAAAAAACACCTTATAAACAAGCCTAGTAAGCTTTTATGCGCGACAAAACCTGGCCCCCTACGATAACCGACTCATAGCTGTCCTGCAAGACTTGACCGAGAGGTACATCAGTATCCAATGTACTCCTGAGATCTCGTTCTAGCATGTCACCGTCTGTTCCAGTCTATAACAAATTATATGAACGACGTTATTTCGATTCTCAACACGATCTCAGGCGTTAGTTGGACGACTTTTTGGGATCAGACCCGCTAAGTTTTGAAAAAGTGGAACTGAAAATTTGACGGCATGGTGGTAGAAGGCCGTGCGCAACAACGAGGCATACATTATTGACTAAATCTTGCTAAAATTCTTCATTTCGTGGATTTATAAAAGCTACACGAACTTATGAAACGATCTAATACTATGTTCCTCTCCTGACCCTGATGTTGCTCTCAGGGTAGTACTTGGTCTCTCAGTGACGCGTCAAGAAGGCTTCGCGTTGCTTATGGAGAAGGGTAACTATGGGAACTTCACTCAGAGGCGAGCGTTACATATCTGTCTATTTGTAGCCTAGAAGCTCGCAGGTATAATAATTAGCTCCTCTCTAATCGCGTCGTACATGTCTGCTTCTTGACAGCGCAAAATTGCTCACATTTTAATTTTCTATAGTTTGTGACAACTGTAAATCATCGGCTCCCAGATTCGTGTGGAAGCAGGTTGCGGACTTCCCTGATTTTCAGGATAAACTTGTTAAACCTCGAAGTTATAGCATTGCATTTCGTACTCTCTCGTTAAGCTTATCCTTGAAGGCACCGTCCAACCAAATCGAGGTTGATGAGATTTTGATGCTATATAATAGAGGGTCTCCTAACTAAGCCATCGTCCAAGTCTCGCCGCAAACGATAAATTCCGAAGCGAGAAAACCGCTCCAGAAGGTCACGCTGACTCCGCCCATCAACGTGTGTGGTCGAAAGATCAAAGTCGAAAATCGGACTTAAGGTAGACAAAAATTTATCAGGGTACCGTGAATTTGTCGATAATAGTGAAAGGCGGGTTTATGACAAATCTGGATACATTAGAGCCCAAGCTGCACTTATTGTCTTCTGTCTACCTTAAGATTTTCGACTTTGATCTTCAGACCACCCACGTTGATGGGCGGAGTCAGCGTGGCCTTATGAAACGATTTTCTTGCTTCGGAATTCATCTTTTGCAACGAGACTTGGGCGATGGCTTAGTTAGGAGACCCTCTGCTAACAGCATCACAATCTCATCAACTTCGATTTGGGTAGACGGTGCCTTTAAAGGCATCGTCCACCCAGATTCTCGTCTTCCGGTTTTTGTCATTTCAGGGCCTTCTCATGTTCCTGATTTCGGATATAAAATCGAGAATCCGCGAAAACCTCGACAATCTCCTTTCCGGAGAACCCATAGGTCGGCTTTCCGAAACGGTGATTGGATGGGCGCGCACAAATGGGCGGGCATGATGGGGGGAGGGCGAGCATGTGGATGGGAATCCTCGTGCATCTTTGTTATTCCTAAGCGATTTTTTCGCTTCCGAAGCGACATTTTGCACTGCGACTTGGGTAATGGCTTGATAGGAGGCCCTACTATCATATGCTGGCAAAAGCTCAAGACCCTCAACTTAGGGTGGACGATGCCTTCAAAGGGAAGTCCGTGATCCGCCTCCACACGAATCTGGGAGCCGATCATACTGACTTTTGTGTTGTAACGCATGCGCATCTCGGCTTACGAGTTGTTTCATACTGCAGTCGCTGCAGCGACTGCAGTATGAAACAACCCTGAGGAGTGGAAGATGAGGCTAATTTTGCGTATTTAGGTCATACGCGCTCGAACACGACGCGGAGCTTCTGCGTAGCGATTACGCGGATGAAAGGGAGTGCGGAGATGCTTGAGGACTTCCATAGAAAGCCTAATATACTACCGTAGAAGAAGTCCACTCTATTAACCTCGTGGTCAGATCAGTGGATTGAGCAAGTGGATGGAGTGGACATCCGCTTGGCTATTGGCCAGTTCACTGTATTTAGCAACGTGGATCAGGTGGATCAAGTATGGCACGTGCTTAGAGCTGCGTCCATCCTGGTGAAAGTTCTGAGTTTTGAACTGTAGCTGTTCTGAGTTTTGAACTGTGCCTGAGCTGTACTGCCCGCACTGCAACCGCGCGCAGGCGGCACTGGGCGGCGCGAAATGACGATTTTTGACCGCTTAGGCACCCGCCATACTTGATCCGCTTAATCCACTTGATCCGATCCTCTTCATCATTGGTCAATTCAGTGAACTGACCAATAGTGAAGTGGATGAAGTGGATCAAGCGGATCAAGCGGACAACCGCTTCGCTATTGCTCTATCCACTGAATCGACCAATGACGAAGCGGATCAAGCGGATTAAGTGGATTAAGCGGAACAAGTATGGCGGGTGCCTTACAACTGTTTTCAGTGTGATTTTACTTGCTTTTGTTTCGTTCTTGTACCTCACTTCCTGCTTTGGTGGAAAAATTGCCAGACTTGGGGGAGGTTTCAGGAATGAATGTCATGTTTTTCTTGTATGTTACTTGGAAATATCTCGAACCGAAACCGCTTCCACTCTGCTATACTCCTCCAATTTTGGAGTTCTTTCATCAGAAGCTGGAGCGGTAATCAAAACGAACAAGCAAAGAATATTTGCAAAAGGAAATGGGTTGGGATGCCCAAAAACTCAATCTAATCACAACATAAGGAACAGTCGCGATCTTTGCTATCGTGATTGTAACGGTTTTGTGCAACGGGAGCAATTCTCGAGTCTTTTCAACCTTACAGCCTTCCAGGGTAGAGTTTCCGCTTGTCTTCTTACTCTTCTCTTATTTTTAGAACTCGACTCGTCTTCTGTTTTCGTTCTAGCTCATTTTTTTTGCGCTGGTCACTATGACCACAGCTCTGCAATACAGCTGACACTGCTTTTTCCTGTTCGTCACAGCACATCGTAATGGGAAATTCCCAGAGGGATATCTTTTCGTAAAGCTTCCTGCAAAAGTGTCCAAAGATACACTAGACTACTTTAACTTGAAGTTTCAAGAAAGTTACGACGTCGTTGCTAAGTTTCGTCATATATATTGAAGTAAATAATGTATCTACATTTCGCTTCCCTCTGCATCTAAACTGTCTGTTTTTAACAAAACGCGCTTGTCAACATTGCAACCACCTGTCACACGATGAATGGTCTCTTCGTAGAGGGTTATGATCGAAATGTGCATAAATTTATGAATTCGCAATAATGGCATTCGTATGCAATCGATGTTGTTATTTTCTATTGCAGTACACGTTGTCTCCGAATGTATTTGAATAGCAACGTGCCCATATCGGTGGCAAATTGCTAGTTCCACCTGAGTGTCACTCAGCGGAACGCTGAATGATTGGTTTGTCTATCTTATCTGTAACCTTTGATTTTATTTTTTATGCTGCTTAGTTATATAATATCTGTTTTCTTTCGCTGTACTTTTTTCAATCAAATTCGAAATCTCACCCGTAATGAGAAATACTTGGTCGTAAGTTTGGTGTTTGCTATTGTGCTCCAGTTTTTCAAACGATAACACCTTTCGATCTTATGCTGAGAAGATCACATTCCTGTCGGATTTTCGAAATTGCTCAGTTTTTCTTGGAATCTCTTCTCCCTTCATTAACGTGAATTTTGAAAACTTGACTTATGTTTCATTTGCTTTTGTTTCCGCTTTGGTGAATGTTTTTTCTCTTTGATTCTTCATTATGAGCTTTCGTGGTAGAACTAGGTCCCATCCACTTTTCCTTATCTTGAGCTTTTCAAACTATGACAGTGTTTGCTCGCTCATTTTATACGCTAGTAATGGCTAGCAATCCAAATACGGAGCACGAATGTAACGCTTCAGTAGATTGACTCTCATCATTTGCCTAAAAGGCCGGGCATACATCAAGCGATTTCATCGCCTCGCGATGAATACGACGGGACAACTGTTACGAGTTCCTTGCATGCCGATCTATTGCATTTCGGTTGTGATAATCATTCGCGATTAGTCGGGTCGGAAAACTCCACAACGAATTGCAAGTTATTGGCATGCAATGGAATCGTAACAGCTGTCTTGTTGGGAGAATCGCGAGGCGACGAAATCGCGTGATATATGCCCGACTCTTAAGGGAATATGTCTAAAATTATGCCATTCCCTCAGTTACGGGACATTTCAATCGAAGTTTTTCTTATAGATGGGACAATTCATTATCTTTTTCTAGGTAACTTGTCTCCTCCCTGCGTTGGTATTCCTAAATTTCTTTCTCTTTTGCTTAGTTCTAAAAAATAGCGAAAGCCGCCATCGTTTTTTCTGCTATCGTGTTGTTTACTTGTGATTTAAGAGGCTTCACCGTTGACATTTTCTACAGACCTTGCTCTAACTTACACATTCCCAACCGCTACAGCTTCGGTAGACGTCTGAAGAAGCGTCACCAGAAGGGTGGGCGGTGCAGTCGTCATATCTGGTCGGATGGACGTGTGGCGTGCGGATCGTTGGCTGCCGAGAGGTGTTGACTGGCACCAACTGCCCACCAATTCCTCTGATCTGATCTATCCTCTGTACTTTGCTGTGCCTTTACTTGTATTCAGGTAGGCATCCACTCAGCTCGAGCTTTTTATCGTTAAATAAGCTCCATTTCATAAATTGCTAATTTTCCTTAATAACAACTATATTTTACGAGTACACTTATCAGACCACCACACAATTTTGTCTACAGTGTGTACCATTTCCAGTGATCACTGCCCTGAGACGGGTGGCGGTCAAGCTAACGATGGCCGATGGCTCTTTCAGTTGCTAGCTGTCAGCTCTCGCGAGTGCAGATCAGGCCATTCTCACTCTTTCAAAAAACGAAAAAATGCAAACCTCATTTTTTGAGTTTCATTTCCTACATCTATAAAGAGGATGAAATACTTCACATGCTGAATTGAGCTTGAATAGCCCCTGTTTACGGTGATGTAATTCTTGATCATTTGCATTCCAAAAATATCGGGGCGATATTCAAAGCATGGATTAAGAAAAATATCGGTTTGGGCAAATGAGCTATGAGCCTGAGCTCGTGGGGGTGCTACCTGTATATTGTCGATTGACACCCGGGCCAATGGTGCCACTCTCTCCAGTATCGTTATTTTTGATATGTAGACCATTTTGTGCATTTTATGTATTGAGTCAATGAATCATGCCGTAACATCAGATACCATGCAAATTCGGTTCTTTTCGGCTCTCCATTTTTTTCAAAAATTTGTCAGTTTTATTTTTCAAGTATGTGGTTCTTGCATCGGATCATAAAAGGATCATTTTGGGATTTCTAGATTGCTAGGCAATGAATTTCTTCAGGATAATCTATGAATCCCTAATTGGCGTTCCTCTCGGCTTTGTTTTGGGTTACTACGGCAACGTTTCACTTTCTACTGCGGTGAGTCTTTTGGGCACTGATTCAATGATCCAGGGAATAATTTGGTATACCGTAGATTAGCAATCAACTCGTCATTCGTAATAAGCGTATGATCATTCCCATTATGTGTGTGCGTATCCCTGAAGTAACCAAGGTTACAAGTGGCCGGCTACAGCGGTAGCCATTAGTTTCAGTGTGAATTAAATACATACGAGTAGAAATGGAAAAGCACTGGCATGGGGCCCAGGGTGGGGAGGGTAAAGATGTGCGATGTTCTCTACTCAAGATGAAAGTGGATTTTTTGGTTCATGTTCCTTCACCATCTGCAAATGTTTGTATTGAAGATGATACTTACCCATTGCTTCAACCAGATCGGCGGCTCGAAGGCGGGGCTAACCTAATCAAGGCAGAAAATGGTCAGAGAGCATGATCGTGAGGGAGGCGCAGACTGCGTTGCGGACGCAGGCAGTCGCCTCATAGGTCGTGAAGCCCCGCCTCCCTGCTGCCAATCTGGTACCAACGGAACGGCCATAGGTTGTCGGTGTTGTCGGTGTTGTCGGGGTTGTCCGGGTCAGAGACAGTTTAGAGAGCGCGCGAAACGTGGAGGCTATCATGAGGTCCTACAACGACCGGCAACCTCGGCACCGAACACCGACAACACCGACAACATCGACAACACCGACAACACCGACAACATCGACAACATCGACAACACCGACAACACCGACAACCTATGGCCGTTCCCAAAGGTTACATGTTTTGTTACAGATCTACGACCACCTTACTGGTGGGTTTGCTCAGCAGACCCGTGTTAAGCGAATTCTAGAGTGCTTTTGGCGCTTTAGCTACTATACCTTTGCTTTCATCTATGGCTGTGTTATACTCTGGGATAAGCCGTGGTTATGGGATGTGAAGCAGTGCTGGATTGGCTATCCATATCACGAAGTTGAGAGTAGCGTATGGTTAGCTTAATTTTTTTCTCACTTTGCGAAAAATCGCGTTATGCATCTCATTTTTTCATTTCAGGTGGTATTACATGATTGAGGCCTCATTTTACTATTCCCTTTTGATTGCCTCTGTCTTTGATGTCAAACGCACTGATTTTTGGCAACTTATTATCCATCACTTCGTTACCATCGGCCTGCTCTCCAGTAGTTTCCTTATTAATTTTGTTAGGTAAGAGTGTATATATATCAAAAATCCTACCAATGTGGGCGTAGGTTTTTATCATTTCAGAGTAGGAACTCTTGTGCTGATCTCGCATGACGTAGCAGATATCTTGCTAGAATTTGGCAAGCTCACTCGTTATGATCGAAATCTCAAACCACTTACCAATGCTTGCTTTGTTGTGTTCTTAACTGGGTGAGCCTGTTTTTCTACCTTTGGCAAACAAACTGCATTTGATTTTTTGTTGCAGGTGGATGGTTACTCGACTTGGTTACTATCCTCTGGTGTTGGTACGCTCTGCTTTATTTGAAGCTGCTCCGCTAATACAACCTGATTATAATTTGCTCGATCTCACTCAAGTATGTTAATGTTTTATCTGATTATGCATTCTCTTTGGACTTGTTGCTGTGCATGTTGCTGTGCATACTGCTACTTTATGTTGAAGGTGCCATACGCTCCACGCATCATCATCATTTTGCTGTTCATACTCCTAGTACTCCATGTCTTTTGGACTGTTATTATCTTGAAAATTGTTATCAAGACTGTCACTCAAGGCGAAGCTGGTGACTTAAGGTCCGATTCGGAGTACTCCGACGTAGATGAGAAGGAAAATCTGGTGAAGGTGCTTAAGATTAGCTTTAGTATTCACTTAGGATATTCTTTTTTGCAGCAAAATGGAAAGCGAGTTTTCACCAAGCGATCATCGAAGCGAAGCATCGATGACAGTGATACCGATGAACCTTTGCAAAACGGCATGAAGTATAGGAGACCAAGGCGAGAATGACTGCTGGATCATTCCAAAATTGGTTGCTCATCCATAGTTGCTGCAATATTATGTCAATGACCTCATTTTGATCACTTCATTATTATTCTAATCACTTTGCTACTATATACATCTTTCGACAACTTTTTTTTTTGAGTTATGGGTGTGATTCAGTGTCGCGTTTGTCTGTCATTGAGGTTCCCGTAGATACCACCGCTCGCGAGCTCAGCGCTGCCTTCTGCTTTTTTAACACGTACCTCAAGCAATCGATTCGAATACTCAAACAAAAAAAAAAAGGTTCCAAAAGCAGCGAAACGCAGCGATTGGCGCTTGCGAGGGGCAGCACCTACGGGATCATCGCGAGCAAACGAAAATTCATATTGGTATGCTCGTGGGAACTTCACTTTAACGTTACAACGCATGATACCTCCTTCTTTTAAATTTCTATGTACTTCAAAGCTGAATAGTTCAAGAGATTCTCATTGTCTCGAGAAAAGTACCTTTGACAAATGTGGTTTTCTTTATCATTTTGTTCCATAAAGTGTCGCATGATATAGTAGTAGTATTATGAAGTGTATATGCTAGAAAATAACGTTCTCCGCGCGCCCCCGACGCGAGACAACTGCCGAGGAACAGATATTAGCGCACGTATCGTAAAACAAGACACAAAAGATTTAGATAAACACTGTAACTTTGTTTTAGGATGTTTGCTCTTATAGATTTCTTTGTATTTAAAGCGAAGAGGCTGGATTTTATTCCTTTACAAATGAGACGCGGCGCAAAAGATAGGCTATTTTGCGACTTATTGATTTGTTTACTTACATCCAGAAATGAAGATATTATCAGATCATTTATCTGAATGAGGATGAGCAGTAGCGGTACATCCCACTGAGTTTTTGTCAGCAAAGCGCAGTGAGAAGAAGCTTACCTCAAGTAAGTCCTTATGTCGCCAATAGGCTCCACCCACCGGGCAAATAGCACGAGGTATAGCTATGAAGGGAAGGCAAGCGGTTTGTTGCAGATGTCCTCCTGGGACCTCCCCTTTCAGCATCCTGATCACCTCTACCCAATAGAAAGCAACCGATTAGAAGACGGAACAATGAAAATGTTTTGATTGTGGATAGTGATATGCTAATCACTTCCATCCCACTCTATGCTTACGAGTACATTCGTGGGAGCAGAGCAAACCTGTTAAGTAAAATAAGCACGCCTTTTCAAGACCCAACAGGAATGTCAAAGTAGCAAGGAAAGATGGAAGCGTTATAGTTATACTATCGCAATATGATCTGTACCCTTATTCCCTTAACTATAGCTTTTAGAGTGTGATTTTATCTACAGATTGAAGTTACTTGTTAAAAATTATTGTCAAATGAACTCCAAATTTAGACTAATGTTGAGCAAGTAAAACATTTTGTTAAGCTCATGAATATCATAGTATGATCGGTTTCCAGATTCGTGTGGAGGTGTATTGCAGACTTTACCTGATAACACAGGTAAACTTGTTAAACCTCTACGTTATAGCATTGCTTTTCATACTCTCTCGCTAGCAAGAACCGCCACGCGGTAAGTTGGCAAGACTCCGCCTCCACACGAATCTGGAAACCGATGATAGATAAAGCGATTTGAACATTGATAAATCTGCAGAATCTGACAGTAACCCGGGCGTCCGGGTATGCCAGCTAGTTTGGTGACAAGACGGGCCCAGATAAGCCGCTAAATTCAAAAATAAATGAAAAACTAGATGGCATGCCTGGCTTCGCACCGTGTTTTCAACTGGCTCAAAAACGCTAACTTGGTGGTCAGTTCTAAGAGCTCAACTTACCTGCTTTTCGGTTTTCTTTTATTCCTGTGACGCAGGGCAGAGAAACCATTATCCATCGGATTCCGGCGCTGACCCTAACTACAGTACATAGCCAACGCGACCAAGAAAGGCGACCTAGCTGCCTCTCAACACCTTATTATCTTGCTTATCATATCATGGAGACATCCTGCGACTTCCGGTTTGCTGATACTTTGGGTTGTAATATTTTATTGAAGTTTACATACTATTCTAATACTGACTCTCATACATGCTGTTCTAATACTCATCAGTATAATTTACTCTTATAAGCCCGCATATAATAGTGAAATATACTGATATCGTTTGCTCGCTTTTGCTAGAGTAGGCGGGGCCTTTGCGGACGCCGGGGGCAGTCCGCAAAGGCCCCGCCTACTCTAGCAAAAGCGAGCAAACGACATTATTGCTGTTCCTCTTGTATTTGAATGAATGAACCAACAAAGAAGTACTTATGTCAATAACTGTTGCTATGAAAAAGGGACAGAATATGTTTGATAACATCAGAAGACCTCCGTTTCATGCTGCTCAAGTGGGCGGGAAGGGGGTGTCGTAGGCTACTTTTCGTTATCACTACGTAATATATAGTGAATTCGTTGTTTACCGCTTGGCCACCCCTGATCCGTGGAACACGGCGAACGAGGAGATGTTTTTATGACATAGTTAATGGGGTTGACCCTTTGAAAGCTGTGGCTGCCACAGCTTTTAAGGGGTGTGCCACACCCCATTAACTATATCAAAAACATTTTTAGCGAACAGTATTTATATGAATCGATAGCCTAAACCTCGTAGATTCCATAGGGATGTTTTGAGCCTGATTCGTCTTCTTAGCTCTGAGTAATATTTGGTGAAAGCACAGCGATCAAAAGCGAAAAATGGGAAAAACGAGATTTTGGTTGGCTTCTAAGTCAATAGTTTGGAGGTCTTCTGAAGCGGGATTCCTGAGGTAGACAAAGAAGGAGTAGTGCTTTGTATTGAGTGCAAGAAGAGGTAGCTTACTCACCGTTAAGATGAAGTTAATCATGTTTTAAATTACTGCTTTATACGAGGTTGTTTACTACTCGGAGACCTCAGAGTTCGCTGAAACTTGGCGCATAGGGGTTATTCGACACGCGGATTACGACAATTATGCTTGATTAGAGGTACGGTAGGTTACGGTAGGCATACGGTATCTGCAAGTTTGTGTCGTTGAACTTGAATTTTGCAGGATTTCAACAGCGCTTTCATCAAGTCAATTTAGTCACACAGCTTGTACAAGTGCTTTTGACCTTGGGTCGATACGACCCCCCCCCTACCTACCCCCCCCCTGTGGCGTGCCGCACCCCCCGCTTTACCCTGGTCGCAATGAGTTTTCTGGGTCGCCAGTGTCCGGATGTGTTATTTGTACCTGCTTTTTTCGAGCCTGTTATCCCAGAATGTGTCTTTCAGATTGTTCCTATTAGTTGCTTTTGAAATGATGCCAAATTGCGTAAAAGCGTGACTTGAGCTAAATTCATCTATGTTCTCAATTCTTGGTAAAAATGCTCTAACTAAGAACAGTCACTTTGGGATTATCTTGCTTCCGCGTTAGACAAGAGAGTGCGTGAGCCTTGGTCTCGCTGGTACTTTCGGAAGCGTTTATCTAACAATACCTTGCTTTTGCTTGTGTAACTAGGTCCCGCTGGTGCTTTCAATTAGGTATCGGTGTGTAAGCGGCACGTAGGGCAATTCCATCGGGCAGGGAAACAGATTTTTGTACGTTTGGGGCAGTTCTCAGAATTAAAAGTCCAAAAGTGGCATGTACGGGAATTTGAGAATACGCTCTAAATACTTGATTTCGTTGTTTTCTTTCTGTAAAGTCTAAGGTTGGTTTTTCTTATATATACGGTCTTCAAGCGGCACATAGGGCATAAACTTTCTTTTTGAATAGTGACTATCGGTCTGTAAGCGGCACGTAGGCCAATTTGATCGGGCAGGGAAACACATTTTTGTACGTTTGGGGCAGTTCTCATAATTTTAAACGGTCTTCAAGCGGCACGTAGGTAATGAAGTGTCTTTCAGATAGATAATATTGGTTTGAAAGCGGCAAGTAGGGCAATTTGATTGGACAGAAACAAATTTGTTGTACGTGTGCAGTTCCTATGACTGACGGTTTAGATGGCTCAATACTCGTGCTTTTCGGGGAGGGATCCTTTTGCAGTAAAGCTTCATATGCCTTTGTGGAAAAAATTGAAAGATTTTCTGTCAAAATTCTTAGACAATTGATTTCGTTCCTGTCGGAACTGATTCTAGAAAAGTGTTTCTTGTAGTATACATAATTGTTATGGGTATATTTCCACTTCCAAAACGATAGGTGTTACTTACATAACGATCTTTTATGTAACTTGTTGTGGAAAAGTGGGGGCGGGGGTTATCTGAATGTCTCTCTGAGGAGGAAAAATTTGCAGAAAGAGCGTGGTTGGCACGGGGGGTAATCGAGCATGCTGATTACGAATACAATATTGGTTTTTCGAAATATCCATTAGTTTTATCAGTTTTATCGATTCTTTTTGCAGAGTTTGGGCTACGGGGCTGGGAGTTGGCACAGGGAGGTAATCGAGCATGCTGATTACGAATACGATATTAGTTCTCAAAATATCCAGGTTATCCAGATTGTACAGGGATAGGGATGGGAGCTTTATCATAGCGTTTTGACAGGACCGGGCGGAGCCGGGTAAGCCACCTAGTTCATGATAAACTACGAATAGTGAAACAACTATCGGTGGCATTGCATACTATATAGGTAAGCAACACAATATAATACACTTCAGCATGATTTTATGACTAGACATAAGATGCTTATCAGGTGATTTGCTTGGGCTGTATACTCTTTCGCGAAAATTAAATAGATATCGTTGTGCATCTCAGTACGGACGCAAACTAGGCAAAAGAGAAGCAACTTTTTTTCAAAGAGTTGCTTCGCAGATACAGAAGATTTTTAGGTTTGTTGGTATACATTATACCTTAAATTGTACCTTCCTGATCGCCACTTCTATCAAATGACCTTTCCTTAAGATGAAGTGCTAATCTCAAAAATACCCTCTCTAACTGCAAAGCCACTCTTTCGAAGAAGTTATGGGTTTCTCTTTTGCCTAGTTTGCGTCCATACTCACCTGTAAAAGTGTCCCAGCAGCAGCGCAGATGGCGCATTCGCTGAGATGTTTGCCCCCAAAGCAGACCCTGCTACGTACTTCGCACGATTTGCACCGGACTGTACGCTGTTTTGTGAAAACTTGCCGCTCTCGTAATGAGTCCTTGTAAACCCTGCCACCCGATGGAGAACGGGCACGTGGTCACTTTCTTTGAGTATGAAAAAAAACCTTCATCAAACGTATTGATCATTACTCCTGCATCTCCCCTGCAGCTCTCACACTACATCACTGGCCGTTACTGATAGAAGTGAAAGAGATGCCAAAGCTGACCAGTTCTCATT